TTTCCACCATGATCCTTGACCGGTCATGGATATCTCGGCTTTCTGTTAGTGGGCTATCTTCGGTCTCGCTCGATGTCTATCTTGTTTGGTCTCGATCCTTACTGGTCCCGATCTCGATCGGTACTTCAAATCCCAAGCTTGGTACCACACCTTCATGTCTCGGTCTGATATAACATGGGGCAATCCCCGACCCACCATTTTGGTCTCGGTTAATCAACATAATCGCGATTATTACTCTTAGTTCACTTATGAGTTTGTAAAATTTGCTCTATACTTTCAACAGTATATCATGATTTTGAAAAATATTTTTGCATGCTTGGAGCACATGATCAATATTGTTAAGGTTAGAAGCGTTCGTGTTGTTGATCGACCGTGTACGGAAGTTTTGCAACTTAATCGTACGGTATCTACCTTAATTGTATCATATTGCCGAGCTATTTTTCGTTTGATATTTCTCTTTTCATTCTTCTTTTTCTTATGCTTATGGATATCTTCTCGCTTGATATGTAAAGTCAAATTCTATATTGTATTCGCACTTTTTTCTTTCTTTTTTAATTTTTGATAAGTTTAGCATTTATACAGTTATCCTTCTTTTGTTTTTTCCCTTCACTTTGTTACAATCACTCTATAACTATAAGGGAAGCACATCTAAGAAGAGCACGATTGATTATACGTGTTAAAATAGAGACGTAGATGGACTCAGCCTAGCTGGGAATTTGTCCAGGTTAGTTACTAGGTTGATATCTACTTTAAATGCATTACCTATTTACCTGCTCCTTTTTCTTTTATGTTTGGACGATTGAATGGTTCAAGGAGCCACTCTTAATGAAAGAGATTTTTTTTGGTTTCCACCCAGTGTCCGGTACCTGTATTGGAGCCCGACTATATCCGGATTCGCGCCGGGGAAGGCCCCATTCGGGGGGTAGTGCTCCCTACCAATGATTTTTCCAGACCTAGGGCTCGAACTCAAGAACTCTGGTTAAGGAAGGGGCAGCCACATCTACGACACCACATCACTTGATAGTAATGAAAGAGATATTACAAGTGCACAAGCATCATCTAATGAAAGTCTGAGAGTAATTACGACTATGTACTTTAAGCATTAGATATTAAATAGGGGTGGGCGTTGGTGCAGTTCGGATTGGATATGAAAATTTTGGTTTGAATTTTCGATTTTCGGATTAAAGAAATGACAATCCAAATCCAAATAAAATAAGCTCAAATTAGATTGGAGTTTTTATGTTCGATTTCGGATTAATCGGCTTGAATATTTTGAATTTTTGGTTTTGAGCTTATAAATTGAGATATTTTTTCTTTTTACAAAAATAAATATTCAAATGAAGTACTCATATTAAATTGCCTGAAAAGTTCTTAATTCTTACCGCAATCATCCAAATAAAGTATTCAAGTAATGAAATTATTATCAAGAAAATGCAATAGAGACATTAATACGGCCGATAAGAAGTAGCAATAGTAAAATCATGTCCAAATAGAAAGTGTTCTGATAGTAACTTAGTAATTAATATTGAATATACGAAATAATATCTAATGGGTAGGGTATTATATTGAAATTATTACTATTGATATGTGGATAGTGGACTAATTGTAAAGTATAAAAATTTCGAATTTTTGGATATATATATGGATAGTGGACTAATTGTAAAGTATAAAAATTTCGGATTTTCGGATATTCAAAAATCCGAAGCATCAAATCCAATATCCAATCCGAAATCTAAAAATTTTAAATATTAAAAAATCCAATCCGTAATCCGAAAATCCAAACTAAAAATTGAAAATAAATCGAATTTCTGTTTGAATTTCGGGTTTGCCCAAACTATGTCCACCCCTAATATCCAAAGCTTTAAGCTAAGTGTCGATTATACAAGCAGACGGTGTTAGAAGAAGATCATATATTCTATTTTAACACTCTTTATGGTATGATAACAAGAACCACATCACATGCATTATTAATGTAGTTCGCCGCTAACAAACCTAGCAGATATATTTCATGTGGGGTAGAATTCTAATATAATCACCATTAGTATTTTAAATCTACTATAAACTGGCTAAAAATATTTATTGTGTTTATTTCCGAGACTGAACTCATAGGCCGAGTAAAACAGTCAAATATTCATCCACTCTAAATGTGTATGTACAATACAAGAGAAACACAATATGCAATTATATAATATAGATTTTTTACGGACATAAAGCTTATTTCATTCCTGATAGACAGAAAATATCACTAAGAAACTTGACATAAGATAATAACTTAATAATTGAATGGGCAACGTGACACCGTCGTGATATAATAATGCTAAAAATATCTTTTATATAAAGTTATAAGAAGAAATTATTTTTTGCATTATCTTTTAACCAATAGCGAGAGATATATGTGCAACACACGTACATAGAGAATAGTCATTAGAAAAGTATGATTACAATGTCAAGTAACCAAAATAACCATAAAAATAAATTTCAAACTAGAAAAAATAGTCCATTAATATTTCTATCATATTTAGGACTTTAAAATAATTTAGGACATTTAAAATCAATTAGAATGCAAACAACATAACTTGAACATAGGCCATAGTATGTTCTTTCTTCCGTATGCTATATATTCTATTATGTATCCTTACAAGTCTACATGTTTTTAATTTGTTTCTAAGCTATGGAAGGGTATATATATATATAAAAAAATCATGACAACTTACGTGTTGAGTTGCAAAATGTTCCGGGTACAAATGAGTGATGGTGTATTCAAGTTACAGACTCGATAATGTGCCACTAATGAGTGATGGTGTATTCAAGTTACAAACTCGGTAATGTGCCACTGCCTCTCCATTAGAGGCTAATACTTTGATATATGTTGCTTGATATTAAAGAAATTATATTCTGATGGATATTTTATCGAGTTCTATCCTTGTGGCATAATTAGCCTCTATTACACGTGTCCTTATAAGAAGACCTCTAGCAGGTATGTATATTTGGTGTGTGTCATGGGAGATTAGATAGATATAATTATATTTACATATAAAATATCTTTCATGGTGATGAAAATGGAGTTAGAATTGGAGTTTGATTATCACAACCAACCTTAGCTCCATGAAGTATTTAGTATTTCTGTATGTATTTGTGACGTATGCTAGTACTTTGAAAATTGTCTTCAAAGCTTCGAAGATAGAAATTTTAGAATGATATAATAATATTTAATAATAGTAAGAAATAATCAACATCATACAAAAATATTTTAGTAACTACTTATAAGCCAGACACTTAACCTAATCCAAACTTTTTATCCGGATAACTTTCCTAGTAAATAAGATATTTAATCTAATCCAACATTGATTCCCCCATTCCTAGTAAATAAGATATTTAATCTAATCCAACATTGATTCCCCCATTCCTAGTAAATAAGATATTTAATCTAATCCAACATTGATTCCCATGCTCTGGTTAATTCAAATAATCAAATTTTTTATGTAAAGCACAAAACCACATGTAGATAAAATAAAGGCGTAATACATACGGAGACACCTAAAGTTGGCACGATCTTTCACTTAGACACTTAAACTAGACCTCTTTCCGATTAGACACGTTTCTTAGGCAATTCTCATACCAATTAGACACGTTTTTTGCTGGCTTATTAATTAACCAAGCGCGTGTTCTGCAATCTCCGTCTACGTGGCAAAAGTAACCATTATAAATCGTGCCACATCATTTTATTTGTCCACCTCACTGTCCACCTCAGCTATATAGTGTTATTTCCACTAAAATACAGATAAATAGCCCTAAACAAACATCTAAACATATTACCATTGTTTCTTTTACCTTCGATGAAAACGAAGAAAGGTCCTACCACTGTTAATTTTCTTCTTCTTTTGGTCAATGGTGTTGGAATCTAGTATTTCCGCTGATTTTTCACCGTATTTACAACGCTTGAAAGTCCAATCTCTCCTTATTTTCTATTGCTACAGCTAGGGCTAAGTAATCTGTAAGTTATTTCTCAAGCTAGGGTTTTTTTGGGGTTTTCCTTTGTGCTGGTCCCTTGTCGTCTTATGTAAGGGAATATTATGGAGGATGACTATATTTTAACTCGCTTTCACCACGGGGGTACATTTATCGAGCAATCTGTCCCACTATACAAAGGGGAATTAGATGCTTTTGTTGTTGCTATCGATAAAGACCATTTTAGTGTTGTCGAGTTGTCTGCTTATGCTAAAGACCTTGGGTATGCAGTTGTCGAAGGGTTTTATTGTCAAAAGGAAAAAGATGGTGATTTTATCAAAGTCTTTTCTGATTTTCAGTTATATGAATTTGTAAAAGATTTAAAACATGGTGATATTTTGGATGTTTATTTGCGTCATGGTGTGAGTCAGCCTGAAGTAGTCGAAGAAAATGTTGGTCTTTTATGTGGGGCAGAAGTAGGTGGGGGTGGTAATGACCAATTTAAAGCTAGGGCAACACCTGGGAGTAATACAAATACTGAAGAACCTATTGAGCCGCCTACTGAACCAACTCACAATGCTGCTGAACCACCTATTGAGCCTCCTATTGAACCAACTTTGAATGATGTTGAACCAACTCACAATTCTTCTGAACCAACTGTAAATGTTGTTGATGGAGATGAACCACCAGACCATAATGTTAATGAAGATGGAGTGCAATCAGATGTTGAGAGTAGGATGTGTGCCAGGCATATATGGTCTAATTGGCATAAGAAATGAAAAGGAGAGGAAAGGAGAAAACAGTTTTGGAGGTGCTCTAAATCTAGTTATGAAGTTAAGTTTAAAGAGGAGCTTGAGAAAATGGACAAACTTGGTAAGAATATTTGTAGGGATTTGTTATATTATCCAAAAAGTCATGTTAGAGCTTATTTTGAAGTGCATTCCAAGTGTGATGTTGTTGAAAATAATATGTGTGAGACCTTTAATTCATGGATTTTAACTTCTAGGCATAAATCAATTATAATTATGTTGGAGGAGATTAGAAGGAAAATAATGACTAGGCAAGTGGATATGTTGAAATTTGCTGATACTTGGATATCTGATATATCACCTATGGCAAGGCTATTGTTAGAGGATAACAAAGACCTTGCTAGAAAATGTACTGTCCTTTGGAATGCTGATGTTGGATTTGAGATTGGAGAAGGGCTGCATAATCATGTAGTTAATCTGACTGATAAGGTTTGCACTTGTAGAGCTTGGCAGTTGAGGGGTATTCCATGTCAACATGTTGTTCTTGCATACTATCACATAAACGAAGAACCTGAACAGGCAGTAGAGCATTGGTATAAGAGGGATACCTTCTTAAAAGCATACAAGTATTTCATCCAGCCTATGACAAATATGAAGATGTGGCCTGAAACCAACAATCCTAAGATAGAGCCTCCCAAACCTAAACTCATGCCTGGTAGACCTCAGAGGAACAGAAGAAAAGGCAAAGATGAACCAAAAAAGAAATATGGAAAGTTGCCAAGTGTGGAGTGAAAATGACATGTTCCAAGTGCCATCAACAAGGACATAACAAAAGATACTGTAAGGTAAATGTTTCTTGTCAAATATTTCCTGTTGCCATCACATGTTTCCTGTTGCCACCACATGTTTCCTATTGTTCATATGAATGTAGTAATCTGTTTCCATCACTGTTATTCACTGATGTTGCTCAATGTTATGTAGGCTGAAAATTGGATGCATTCACAACAAGGTAGCCAAAGCTCACAAGGTGCTAGCCAACCTGATGCAGCTGGAAGCTCAAGCCAACCTACAAACTCTGTGTGCTTTGATACAACAAGGGTTAGAAGGGTTAATGAAGCTAGAAGCTCAAGCCAACCAACACCAAGTTCAACAGATTCGAGCAGGCCTGCTAGAAGAGGATTAGGTAGTCAACTTCCTCCAAAGGGTAAAGCAACTACCAGCCAAAAGAGAGGAAGGGGTGCAAGTAAAGAAGATGCTGAAAAAGGAGCACAAAAAAGGTCCAAAAATATTGGATTTGGCATCTACACAGCTGCAAGTGGAACTCAAATATTAAAGGTATATAATCATACATATTTCATCTATAATATGACTTACAAATAACTTACTGATTGTGGTTCATTATTTGGCAAACTGCAGCCCGGAACATCAAGCCAACGAGTTATGGTAAGTGGTTCAACTTATAAGAGTGCAGCTCCAACAGGAATTGACCTTGGTTTTAAGGCTAGAGGCTTGAGGTGGAAGGGTCAAGATGCTGTCACAACTTCCCAGTTGCAGCAGATGAAGGCAAACTTCAGCAAGAAGTAGTATCTTAGGAACTTATTTTGTCTATATGTTATGTAGCAGCAACCTATTATATTTTGGGATCTAGTTTTTGAAGGAACTAAACTTTAAGTTGTATTCAGTCGTGTAATCTTACTGTTCTGTTTTGGATATATGTTATGCAGCTGCAACTTCAGCCTTATTTTGTTTGTTTTGGCAGAATAGTTACTCTATGTTCTGAATAATTACTCTATAATGCAGCAACTTCAGTCTATATGTTCTGCATTTTGAAACTGCATCTTATGGTTCTATACCTTGTACAGAAGTTGTATATTACAGCACTTTCAAAATTCAGCAACTGTAAATTAAAACAACGGTTTCAACATCTGAATATAAACAGAAGTTTATAACAAAATTCAGTTGTATTTATACAACATCTGAATATTACAACAACAGTTTCAAAACAGAAATTTAAAGCAACAACAGAAATCCGTCTTCTTTTTGCTCATCAGTCAACCAAAATTCATCAGTCATACAGTTTCCATAAAACGACCAACAATACAACAACAATCGTCAAAAGGATCCGTCTTCTTTTTGCTCGAACTTTCTCTTCTTCAAAAGCTTTGACTCTCTTTAATAAACCCCAAATTATATTCTTCGCTTGAGTAGGCATCTCATCGTCATACCAACAGAAATAATCACATCCACCCTTTTTCTACAAATATCACAAAACACTTTTAATCAATTTTTATCAAAGGAAATAATTCATAAACAGAATTTATAAATTATGAACAAACAATTTACCTTTCCGATTTTGCAAGAAAAAACCTACGACCTGGGTTTAATTGGGTCCAAGAAGTATTCAACTTTGGAGAAACACCACACTTACAGATTTGAGCAGCAACGCAAGGTGACATTGACGAGTTCGTCGATTCCGAGAAGTTCGCCATTAATAAACACGGCAACAACAGAAATGAGAGGAAGAAGAGAAGAGAAGAAATTAATTGATACCAAGAAGAGAACAGAAACGAGAGAAAGAAGAGAAGAGAAAAAAAGATTTGCTGGAGAAATCTGAGAAGAAGAGAAGAGAACAAATAGGTCTTTTAAGAATTAGAAAAGGGATTAGGGTTTAAATAATAATTGACAATCCATGTTATCGTTATGTGTCTAATTGGGAAAGGAAAAGTCACTTTTTGGAATCCTTCACGCGCCTAAATAGGTTTGAAGTCACGCTATATGCCACCAGCAAAAAACGTGTCTAATTGGTATGAGAATTGCCTAAGAAACGTGTCTAATCAGAAAGAGGTCTAGTTTAAGTGTCTAAGTGAAAGATCGTGCCAACTTTAGGTGTCTCCGTATGTATTACGCCTAAAATAAAAGAAACCTTTCTATATTAAGCAAAAGCAAGATCCAACACTAATACGACAAGAAAGAGAGAACTAGTACATTAAAACAATGATTTCTTTTATTCAATTCAATAAGTTGCTACCCGGTGTTTCAACAGTACCCGTAACTCTATAATACTTACATATTATACATTTCTCTTGATCTAATTCTATCCTGCAAAACTATTTCCAATCCAAGACACTCTTACAAAGTTGTTATATGTAGAATTCAAAAGTACCCGTTATAGTGACCGGTGGATTTATATCAATTCGAGTAGCCTTTCCTTGTGAAAGTAATTGTGGCATTGTATTAGCTTCTCTGGCTGCAACTCTTTCGCCGGTCCATACTGTGACATGAGGCCAATGATTTTTGGAATTGACCTTTTCACCTTCAACAAAGCCAGGCTCCGCTTCTAGTGCAGCCAATTTTTCGGAGAACAACAACGCAGTCACCTCTACTGACACCTTTTGGTGAAGAAAGGAACTGTAATCGGCAAATACATTGACACCGTGACTTCTCTTGTGAGCCAAGGTCAAATGGGCATTCTGAATGTAGTTGTCTATGCTTTTGTCCTTCAAGAAATCACCAACTTTCGGATTTTTTTGGGCTAGCTGTCCACAAAATAATGAGAAACATGAGATAACATAATTGGGTCCCTTTATGCAAATGCCTTATTCACCTGAACGACTTTCAAAACGAAATGCAGAAATTTCAGATGAGATAGAAATCACTAAGACTGAAAGGAGAATAGGGCAAAAGCAAAATATTTGCTCTTCTGGGATAAAGAGATTATTAATTGAACGAAACAAAATGCAGCAAACAGATAAACAAGAAACACAATCACTCTCTTCAACTTGCCAAGAAAACAATCTAGATACAGGGAACAATAAATTGTTTTGCGTACAAACCATCAAGTACGATAAGAGCATAGGATACTAACTACAACTAGCAAGATATAAAGTTTTAGTCATCAAACTCCGAAGTGCAACTTATAAAATTGCGAATTCACTTACGTCATTCAGAAGACCTAGAATTTCTGGCACTGGCAGGTTGACAGCAGCAAACACAATAGATTCAAGCTTCCCCTTCTTAGAAGTAGGCGCTGCATACTCACCCCTTACAATAGCTCTCAGTTGTTCCAAGACTTCTTTAACAACAAATTCAAATGGAACCTGAAATAGCAAGTTGCAGAATCACTAGCCAAAAATTCTCCTACCAAATGTGGTGGTGAGCTATGTTGCTCAGACTCCCCAAAAATATCGAGGGGTACGTGTCGGATCCTCCAAAAGCAGTGGATTGTTTAGGAGGATCCTACACAGGTGCGACAATTGTTTTAGAGAGTCCCGAAAACACTGGTGGTGAGTTTCTTCTAAACAAGTCACTACTCTGAAGGGAGGAGGGTTGCTGACCATGGAATATTGAATTGTCCAACTAACCCCTCCAACTACAAAGACATTGCTCATGCAGTATGTAAAGGCAAGAAATTCATTTTTTATTCTTTTTTTTTTTTACCACAGACGTGGCTTCCTACCTAAGACACTCTTTCCCCCAAATCTTTGCACCCTCCCTGTATCAAAGAAGAGTTACGTAGAGGAAAAACACATCCGTGCAAACAATGTACGTAAAGAATATTTTGAGCTTCGTCATTCCCCATGTTATATGGACTCATTTACGGGTATATATATCCTATACAGCTGAGTCCAAGTATCTGGTATGGGCACGCCAAATTTGTTGTTGATTGGCGTATTGGAAGAGCCCACATAAGTACTTCAATATTTACCACACAAATCCTATGCAGGTACATCAATTCAAATAAAGTATGTATGTAGTACAACTACATGCCATAAGTAACACCTGAAGTGAAGGGCTTGAATAATGTTATAGCTATCAATTTATTTGTAGTGGAAGATAAGATCAGAGAATTACCTGCCTTGAGAGATCTAACAGCACTAAACTAAGCTTGCAGAAACTTACCTGTATTGAATTGAGGTAGTCGGCATTTCCAAGTAGAATATCCCTCAATTGCTTCTCCCATTTAACCCAATCTTTAGCATATGTCCCTTTTCTAGACCCCAATCTACAAGATTGTATGTACAAAATTACACAACGAGAAAAACTCACAAGTAACAATCAATCAGTAACATTTTTAATAGAGTGAAAACTTGTATACATAGGATGGTGTGTGAACTTATTTTTGTCATGAACCCATCACTAGGGCTGCTTATCGGGCGGATATTTGCACTTAGCCATTATCGACTTGTAAATGTACTAATTCGCTAGTCACCCGATAAGATATTGAGCGGATCCGTATAGCGATTACCAGGCAGTTTACCGGCTAAATTAAATAGACAATAAAAATTACATAAGTTCGCAAGACAGTAAACGATAGATAGATGATCAAACCACAATCACACTCCATTATACTAATGAAGCTCTCATCGTTAATGGCAGTTTCTTCTTCTTCTTTAATTCTTTTACAATAAGCAAGATAAAATACAAATTGAGGATGCTTAACTAATACTCGAAGTTCATTTATCATAAATTCTAAATATAGTTTTGCTTCAGTTACCAAGTTAAATGATTCATCTGGGCAGAAAGATATCAAGAACTATCTAGATTTGCCTAGTCCTACCCCAAAAACAAGTTAGAACTATCTAGATTTGCCTAGTCCTACCCCAAAAACAAGTTATGATGACGTTGAAGCTCAAGCTGCTAAGAAGTTGCTTCATAATGGGTAAAAATATAAATATAATAATTTTTAACTGGTTAACGATTTATCAAATAAGGAATTTGAGTAATCCACCCCCAAGCCAATAAACCGTTAATTATAAAATTACAATCAATTCACCAACCATTAATCCGATAACCGATACTAGTGAGCCATTAAGCCACTTTTCCGGTTCAGTTTTGAATACCCCTTACACATCACTCCAATACACAAAATTGAACTATATCAATGTATAACCAAACACAACTTTCTTGGTCTCCAACAATTAATATCATAAACCTAACAAGTTATTTAACACAACTTTATTTTATTTTGGTTTTTCGGGGGGGGGGGGGGGTTGTTCAAGGATTCTACATGGTTGAGAAAAGACATCTTATAAACCCAAAAGAAAAGGCATATAAGTGGTCTTAAACCTACTGAAACATGCAAATATTATATTCATCTAGAAGAAAAACGAAAATTGCATTTTCATTATGGTATTACATAACGACAATTACTTAAATACGTTCGTGTTGCCAGAGAGGCCAAGGGGTCAATAGGTCAAATTTTACTACAATTACTTGACATGTGTTTGGATAACATCCTTTTTCGATTGGGTATGGCTTCAACACTTCCCGCATCCCGTCAATTAGTTAACCATCGACATATTTTAGTTATATTCGCGTTGCAGTTAATTTAATGCACTATATATGTATATACATGTGTGCGTGGTGAGTGTATATACACATAAATGTTGATATATAACGTTATCACTAGAAAAAAGCAATACAACAAAAGCAGAATTGTAAAAAGGAGTTTCATAGCTCCGGATGATGCTCAGATTACTCAATAGAGTCAGGACACCGGAAATCGAGCATATCAGATTTTCATTAATGCTTTTCCAGCCTATAAGCCCAGTGATATCCATCTTTTTCCTCGCCAAATGACACTGGAAACTTCCCAATGCCATTAAGAATCATAGAATCCTTAAGCCCTAAAATTCTGTTACCCTGATCGACCCCAAATCTGTGCTAATTTGAATCATACAACCCATCCCAAAGTTTATAGCAAAGCATTATGCAACATACAAACAACAAATGGAAGGGCTCACTATATTCAATAGAATAAAGGAATAAGAAAAGAATTGCCCTCAGAGAAAGAGGGATTAAGGTCAAATATTTGGACTGGCAGAATAACTGTTTTAAGGTGTAATGTTTTTTAATCTTCTCCACCGACCAGAATTATTCAGCTTACCATTAACTATCAAGACCTCTATGCATCATAACAGAACTCAGTCATCACAAAGTCAGAGTCGACGCCTCCCATATGAAGTTGGAAGAAAGTTATCACACATAATATCCCTACTTTTAATAAGCAATCTTGAGAAATAAGTGGAGCATTCAAATTTGCTTCAACATAAACTTCTACTTTGAAAATATTTAAGTTGAGGATGTAAGAGAGAGAGCTTCATGTGGTGCAACATATAGGAAGGAACGTAATACCCCAAAATTTTAAGAGTGAACTTTTAAGTTACTTTTTTATTATAATTTCTTATTAAAATATCTTGTAGGGATAATAATAATAATAATAATTTAATTGTCATGTGGGTGCATAAATGTATATATTACTTTGGAAATAATATTTAGGAATTAAGAGATATAAAGGATGTGAATTGAAATATTATATATCTAGTAGCTAATTTATCAACTTTACTTATATGGTTGACTTTGGTTAGAGCCACTTCTTTTGTTTCTATTCTGATATTATTGTCTCTCTTGATTGAGCCGAGAGTCTCCCGGAAACAGTCTCTCTACCTTTTTCGAGGTAGGGGTAAGGTCTGCGTACAATCTACTCTCCCCAGACCCCACTAGTAGGATTTTACTGGGTATGTTGTTGTTGTTTGTTAGAGCCATTATACGAAAAATCGTGGGCCATGCCCATTCTCTTGTTCTAGTTGCTGCCACGTTATAGTGGGTTAGGGAGCAGAAAATTAGGTTAATTGATTTCTTTGTATTTTGGAAGAAAAGAAGCCAACTCATATAGGAGTTTTGGGGAGTTCGTTGGTGACGTTAGGGAGCTAGGGCAGTGAAGATTTCATAGCTTCAGGTACTGAAATTTCTATATATATATATATATATATATATATATATATATATTAATTATCAAAGAAGTATAATGATGCCAATATTGAATCAATGATATGATGATGAGCAGGAAACATAATGATTAGGCCAATGCTTGTGGGGAAATATATCAGCAATGATAATGAGTTAGCGGAATTTGACATAAAATATTAAAGCTAATCTGCTATAGGAAAACTGCAGTTTCATTTTTGTTCTTTTAATTGAGGAGAAATAATGATTACCCACTGATATGGGTAACAATGCGGGGAGTAACGATTAACTAATGATTGGATTCTAATGATGAGGTGATGATTTATAGCTTGTAATGATAAGATACTAGATTGAGAATTTGAAAACGAAATCTCTCTTATTTTACACTGCTACATTTATGAATTTCTATTACCAAGTACATTAGAATAAAATATAGGAATCATCATGATGCCATGATTAAAGTAACAACGGCCTGGTGGTATGTGTAAAGCCACTGTTTCGGCATTTTTTTTCACCGCTAAATTGCCTCGTTTGCATTTATTTGTGTATAGAGTTCTATTAATTGGACTGAAGGTTGACTTTGATTTTGACTTATCCTAAAATTATTGAAATTGTTCACCTACACTAATTAGGATATATTATTCAATATCTTGGATAGATTGAGGCCATTGGAGGCTGTTTGGTTGGTGTTCTAGACGTCGCAATGTTGGGGAACTTCCCGTTAGCAAGGTAAGTGAGACTATAAGCTTCGGTGGTTGCTTTTCAAATCTGTTTTAAAAGTTGGTTTTGTCTGCTTTGTCCATGTGTTGGGAAAAGCGTGTGCTTCACAGAATCGGTAGTGTTTGAGACCTTCTGAACGTATTTTATTTTCAAATACACAAAAAACTCTCTTTATATATTGTTTCGTGGTGTGATACGGATGTCGCCATGAGGTTGAGACATTTTGTATGCTTCTTTATTTCACTCGGGTATTGTGCATACTTCTTGACATCATTGGGGCATTGTGTATGCTTCATGGGACATTGTGGACGCAACCATGGACTCGTAGAGGTGTAGATTAATTTCTTTAATTGTCATTTATGACAAGTGTCTAGTGTAAATTGTGTTGAGATATATTAGTATTCTAGTTGAACATTTGTTTGGACCTTATTGGATATCATATTATGATATAATTCCTGTACATATTATTTTTCTGCTCGTTGTGAGTTGTATTTTCTAATACTTGTTTCAGGGGCATTTAAAGCGGTAGGTTGAGAATCTTGGAGAACGAGACTAGTAGCTGACGAGTTCATTCGAGTGGATCTTATCGCTGAGTTGAGCCACAACATCGTTTGTCAAGGCCTTCATTTCAGCTTTATCTTGTATATGTCAACTATTTTATTTGTTTTCGGGGTTTGCATGTCCAACAATTAAACTCATGTTACTCTATTTGATGGCTCAGCATAGGATTTGGGCTAGACATTTATTATTTGAGCAATCGTTGGATTTCATAAGCTAATGGTTTTAGTTGGATAATTATTTCATATTTATTATTATTGTTATTGCATTTGGACCTGCTCTTATTCTCTCAGTGCTTATGTAAGTGGTTAAATGTATGTGAAACTGGTTCGTTGGGTAGATAATGGTAGCGGGGTGCCAACCACGTCTAGGGAACGGTTTGGGACGTGACAACATACGACTATGTCTCATCAAGAACACTATAACTCAATGCAACAAAGGGGAGAGGGTGTGGAGGAACTCATTAACTACACATTCAATGTAACACTTACCTTCTATGTTTGTTCGTGTGAAGCTTGTACAGATAGATTCCCTCCTCAATAATAGACCTCACAGAATCCGGAAGAGGGGGCCTTCATATGATCATAAAACAATATCAACAGCAAGTACAGAAAATGAGCAAGGGAAGACCAACATGTCCTAGAATTGAGACAGTTTCACACTATACAGGACAAATACCAAATACCGCTGACAGCAATGCATTTGCTGTCAACACAGATTAACGACATTAAGGAAGTCATCTGACGTGATAGTAGAATATTATCAAACTCCATTACCTGTGGCATCTTGTTGGTTGAATTGCTATAAATAGGTGTTGAAGACATAATTAAGAAAATAAAAGTTTTCTCTTTAATAGTATAACCTTTTAGATGAGATGGTTAAAAATTCAAACATGGTATAAGAGCCACAGGTCCTGCTCTAATGTAACTGCCACCCATTATCAACAAGAATTTCCACGTGCTTGGCCCGTGAAAAAGGCCGCACGTGAAGGAGCAAAGACATAATTAAAATAAAACTATGCTCCCTCTAACAGCTTAAGCTATTCAATGAGATGGTCAGTTGGTCACACAACTTTATCAATAAGCTATATCACTGAGACTTCTAGTTTGTATAATATCCTTTAGGGTTGAACATTGTGGAGCACACAACTCGATGTAATCGGCATATACGTAATCAAAACCCCAGCTTTGTATAAAACAACTGGACCCATAAACAACACCTACTTCCATCTTTTTTTTTTTTACTTTTTTCTTTTTGGTCGTGAAGAAAATACGGCGACAACATTGGAGTTTGTCTTCAAAGCTAGCAGTCTCCTTCAAAATTTTGGAAGGTTGTTTGACTTACGGTACAAGTCAGAATTTAAGCTTAACTAAGTTGGAGCTATATTCACTATAGTTAAATGAAAGTTAGTAACTAGGTGAAAGCACAGACAACCAGTTTGGTTACATACCAAAATCATACTTGATCATTGAATGCCAGTCAGAACTCAGACGCATGTCAAACACCAATATATGATGATACTATGCAGGACCTTTGAGTCACCATGCCTTAGACAACAACAATGGTTGCCCTTTCCATCTGGCTGGAAAATAGTTTTTAAATAACAAATTCCATTTTCTTCAAAAATGGGTATCGAACAACCTAGCCCTGACTTGGAAAGGACTTCACCAATAGATGTAGACATTCAACGTTTGGGGTTATATTAATTACCCGTTAGAACTTAGAACCACTTTAGATACTTTACAAATGTTCATCATTGTGTTGAATGACTTTAGTTTGTTGTTTGTCAAGGAATATGAGGAATTAACCTTTCAAGTCTTTTATTTGATAGGTATCATACTACTAAGATAAACTATGGAGAGAAAAATTCGAAGTAAATTACATGTACTTCCTCTCAAGTTCAGCAGCATTATGCACGCTTCCCCTAGCATTAGAAATAACACAAACTCTCCTGTTCTAAATTGCATTACAAATACCACACGTGCTTGAGCGCAACCAAAAACGCTTATGAAGAGGATTCACTTATAATTTCAAATCCAATGTTATAGCTTAATCAATTTTTCAAGCTTCCCTTTTCCATCTAATCAAGATGAAGAGGCCAACATCATTAAGGAGGTTCAAAAGAAAGAAATCTTACTAACCTTTCAGGTTTCAATAGAGGCATTCTGACAAGAGAGCCAAAACGTTCAATAAGCTCACTCTCGAACTCCTGACGACTCTGAGTGAAAAGTGTACCAACAGAATCAGATACAGATGCCTTGTTTATTTATTTATTTGCTTTATTAACTAACAGTTCATATCATAGAAAGATCTCAGATAATCTTGTCAGCTGAACAAGAATCTGTACCTTTCCCTCATAAAAGTGATAAAACATTAGCAGCACATATCCAGCATTTGGAGATGACTTGCCAAGATTCCCCTTCAGGATCAAGCAGAAAAGAGAGATATAAGGCATCAATATCCAAGTTGAATGGAATAAATGGGTGAGAGCAGTTTACAAGTACGGAGTAATGAAGAGTTAAGTACCGGGTGATTAGCTCGGTGAAGTACTCGGAATATAAAAACCGCAAGTGCATCAACAGAGAATGGATTGATTTCAGTTCCTGCATGATATCCAGGCAGTAACTAAGAATCCATACTGAATACACATAGATTAGTATGACCCAAGAAAAAACAAATGAACTTCCCACATGCAATTCTCTTACTACCACTAGCAATATCCCTAACTGTGAAGAAAGGTAATGTAAAACATCATTTTGTGCAAGCATCATGAAGCATTTACCAAATAATTGTTCCCAAGAAACAAAAGCATATAGCATGACGATACAGAGCTTCACCAGTCTAAGTTAAAGATAACACAACTGCAAGGCCAGGAGTGTAGGTGGGAAGTATCTGCCTCATCTCCAAGAAACAAAAGCATATAACAAGATGATACAGAGTTCATCAATCTAAGTTAAACAGAAAAGAGAACGGCAAAGTTAAGACGTTGGGAAGCATTTGCCATGCTTCCACCTGAATCAGACATAATTTTTCAGTCACCAACAAACAAGAATTGTCAATAACACAAATCTGAAGCAACATAGTAAGAAATGCAAATCAAGCCACTCAACTGGGTGAATTACCAAATCAATTGACCCAGCTTTTCATAAATTAAAGCAAACTTGCATGAGAAGCAGCATAACAGGTTATCGAAAATTTATGCAACAGAAACTACAAAAGAACCATCTCTCAAGACCTTCTGAATCAGGTATAACTGGAATAGCAGATGCATTGGTGCTTAGGCACACGTTCTCAATCTGCAAAGATGAGAACAAAATCCTGTGAGACAAAGCTGGATATCAAGATTTGAAGAACTACCACTACATCTAGGGGTCGTGGTAGGGTGCATAAGAATAATGTTGAATAGGGTGTATTAGTAATGCTGGTATTAGTTATGCTGACATATTTCTCATCCATTGTTTGGTTGCACAATTTCTAAAAGAATTGTTTGTTTACAAAAATACCTTCATAACCAGTCCATCACTCTATCCTTTTAAAAGGAACATATGTTGAGGAATGCTTTTATATGAAAAAGGTTTTAAAAACTTAGTTGATTTGTCCACCTATATTGCAGTATAGAACTGAATATTTCTTTATAAAAAAGGAAATATGGTAAGTATTTATTTATCTACTAGGGATATAATTTTATTTCCCACTTTCTTGGATTATTAGGCAAAAAAAGTTTGAATTATAAAATTAAAAGGAAAATGAGTTGATTACAAGTGCATTCCAGTGCGTAGTAATAGAGTACAGCTTTATAAATTTACAATGAAGAAATTGACAGAGTATAAATATAAATAGCGCGAGCAATTTCAGTATCAAACTTTACATCGAACTTGCATTAATATAATAGCATATTTTAATCAAGCATATGAAGCGCAATTTTGTCTTTAACTAAGCTAATGCATGCATTAAAACTCATTGCATTGTTAATACTATGGTTTCCTATGCATTAGTTATGCATAGGATAATATCAATAGAGTACATCAAATAAGGTGTATAACTAATGCTTGCATAACTAATGCACTAGGTTCAAAAAATGTACCAAACAAGGTATTGTTAATACACAACGCTAATCATGCATTATTTTATCGAATGAATCCTACCAAACGAACCCTTAGTGTTATTTCGGAACTGAAATGACCTTAAAACTCAAATTCTTTATATGCATTCCGTGGCATTATAAAAAGCTGTCCGCAAAGTACAAGAGATCTGATAAAACTAGACTTTGTAATCTCGTGTGATATCATGACTTGAAGCACTACCAGTCCACTGCATTTTATGTTAATTTGTAACTGAAAATAACCTCAAGATGTGCCTTAGATTAAAAATCGTGTCAGAGGATTTGTACTACCCGGGAACAGTTTAGCAAATACAATAATTTACCTGTCTCCATGCTTCCTCATTTGGTGCATTCTTGTCAGCAAGCATAACTGAGTGAGGTTTTCTTCGGCGTTCACCAACAACATTTTGCCAATATTTGCCTATTAATATGATGGACGGACAGAGATTAAGAAAAAGAGGGAAATTATAAATGGAAGATTTAAGGATCAGATGTTTGTGGCAAGAAAGAGCCAGATCACTATGCATTCAGTTCTAAGTACAACTTTTTCCAATTAGTTCCCACCTGTATTAAAATAAATGCTTGCCAGAATGACTAACAGATATTCCCTCTGTCCCAATTTATGCAAAACCCATTCCATTATGGGATTTCCCAAAATATTTTAACACACTTCTACTTTATACAGCTTTTAAGAATTCAAATACCTTAAACTTTTCAAACTTTTTAAAATTTGATGTGGTTTTTTCTATCAACTAACCTTCAACCATTACTTTAAAGATATTCTTCCACCATTACGGCTTCAATATGTAAGGATAATTCACATCTTAAAGTCCGTGCTTGTCAAATACAATCATACTGAGACAGAGGGAATACATGATATACCGACAACAACCTAACAGCACAAGATACATGGACATGCAAAATCATATTCATTTATAATTAAATAAGGAACATCCCAAAAGATGTTGAAAATCAGCTCATACATTTAACACGATCACCCATTAAACTATGAACTGGTCGTCCATCTCCAAGCCCTCCTGAAGCATTCAGTATTTCCATACAAAGAGCAGATTTAGCACAACCTGGTATTCCTGCAATTAGCATTGTATATCAAAAAAAATCCATTATTCAATGGTAGCAGGAGATTCTAAAAACAGAAGAGGTGCATCACGTACAAAACACATAAAAAACTCCAGGGTTATATCAGCAACTACTAGCCAACTGCTAGAGAACATGACAACACAAAACCACCATAAAGATTCAGAAATTGTGTAGGAAATTCAAAACAAGTACTATCATACCTGGAAAGAAAACAATGAGACCATCATTCTCCGCAACCATGTCTTTGGTGGAAATATTAGGGCTTGAAGGTGCAATATCTTTCTCCGACTTGAGACCACCATCTACATCTTGTCCTTCAACAGTGGCCATGATATCTTCAACTTCGACAAAATTTCCAGCAGATCCAATCAAAGCCTGATTTTGTGGACTACGTTTTGCATATTGTTCAAGGAAGGGCTCAGCTTCACTTAGGTATGTCCATGATGATAATGACTTCTTCCGATAGTGTGTGCATATATATACTGCCCTGGAGAATGTAGTTCCTGTAAGATGCTATACTGGGAAAATAAAAAGTGACTCATCGTAGAAAATCATAACTTTATACAGTATTACCATTCATCAAGCATCTTGCTGAGTTCCTGTTGCTTGGCTGCTGAAGTATTCCAAATTTTCATTTGCCTAGATTGACCATATAGTTATACATTATCATTTATCATTGAGACGAAATGCACTCGAAACACATCATTGCAGCACTGAATCAAGTCGGCCATAAAAAAACAAGCTTGATAACATAAAAATACAGACCGATTGTCCCAACACACGAACAAATGGAATAATTTGTTAGAAACCCTCAAAACTTGGTCAAACACAACTATTACAAAAATTATGAAGCCTAGATTCACAGTAGTTATACTAGCCAGATTACATATAAGATCTGAAAACTAGAAATTCAACAATAGTTTAATAGCCTGGTAGATTCAATAAAGATATGGCTGTAGAACATCATAAAGTGATCTCAGACAATATAGATAAATCATTAGAACTGTAGCACTTAATTATGTGATGATAAACACTCCTTAGGAGACCAATTAAGATGTGGATGGAACAACTCATAATTATTGACGTATGCCGGCTACAATATAGCAGCACCAGCTCTTTATCCAACAACTTACAATTATTGAATTATGTCACTACAATGTAGCAACAGCTCTTTATCAAACAAATTGAAATGCAAACAGAACACATATGAAGCCACCAAGGAATCCAAACCAGATGTTGACCATTGAAGAACAAAGGACCAACAAGATGATCCTCACCTCAGGTAATAAGTGCTGTAAGCAGAGGGGCCTTTGCGCAGAGTCGACAAGCCATTACGGATCAGAAAAGTTCTCAACTGCACAGTAAAGAAACAAAGATAAAACAAGATTTCTTTGCTCAACATGTGAAAACTTTCAATGCAACATAGCATGCCTAACCCATTATGTTCAGAAATTAGATCAGAAGGTCCAACAATGCATACGTGGTACCAGAACCCCAGTACACAAGCAGCTGCTCTTTTGGAAAGTCAAAAAGCATGTGTGAGTATATGGCATTACTTCTCCAACTTTCTTACTGCACCTCTTTTAATATTTTTTTTTGGAAACTGTTATGTAGTAATTTTATAAATGACAACAGCCGAGCACTAAAATTAATGCTTGTGAGTTACAAGTTCTGAGATTCCCTTCTACAGGAAGGAAAAAGAAGGGACCACATCTGTACACAACAAGAAACTTTAATCCTGTAGAGAGCTGATGAACTCTAACAGCTGTCTTCATCACTTACATCTCGAATGCTGCACTACAAAGCCCTAAACCACAAACATCTGTAACTTTTGCAACTATACCGGGTTGTATTTCCCTTCAAAACAGCTGATATTCCTCTCCCCACATGACCAAAGACACAAGCTGGCAAGCTGTTCCATTTTCTTTTCAGAGACTTTTGTAATACCACCACCCTGACCTAACAGCAAATCTTTCAGAGTGGCCAACTTTGGTCCAGTATCATATAAGCTTATTGTTTTGGTTATAGTTGGTAATCACAAAATATTGGAAACCCATGCACTGCTCTATTCCCATGCATTATGATATAACAAGTGAATTAAAAGATAAGCACAACTTGAAAAAATATGCCCTTAGTAGCAGCAGAATGATCAGTTTCAACTCACAAACAGCAACAGTGACATCAACTCACTGTTAATTAACTGCATTACCTTGTAAGGAAGAAATTTCAACTTGACCATCAGATTTGCATCTTCATCAGCTAAACTACTGTCCTCTTCATTTTTTCCCATATTGCTACATTGTACCATTTCAGAAGCTTCCTCCTCATTGGCCTTGAATAAATCCAGGTCAATGAAAAAGCCTGTGAAAAGCTACATCAGCAACTCACAGTGCGAAAGATGATGTTATGAGTAAGAGGAGAGTGGAGACTACCCAACCCTTCTACAGTAACAACAAAACCTACCCTACCCTTCTAATGAACATAAAAGAAGATAGGTGGTGAAGAATTGGGAAAAAAATGAATGAAGCAGGAAACAAAGAGAGCAGGAGGGATAAAATAAAGCTCTAAAGCAGATAATTTTCTGCAAACTGAAAATCACGAGGTTCATGACCTAGAAGACAAGAAAGGAATGAGCATTGGCAATTTAACTTTCTACATCTTTATATCTCCACAGAAATAATCATGAACTTTCTGAGAGCAAATATTCAGCTAGCTTTTCTACTTTTGATACCGCCAATTCGCAGAACATGTCATAAAATATATTTAGTTTTGAAATGAAACACAAAAACCAAATGCAGATACACTGGTGAATTGGTTGATGTCCTATAGATCATTCAGACATGACATGACTATTTGTTCCCCTAGAGGAGAGCCTTAAAATTGTCCTTAACATCAAAATTCCATATGCCTTTCTAATACCACAACTCTGTTCTTAAATAGGACTAACAGAAAGTTTCACATCATCTCAAGCTCCGGCAATGAAACTGCTCGTTTACTCCCAGAAGAGAAAGAAGCATCCTCGTAGCTCTGAAGAATGAATAGTTTTGGCCATATTCCTAACAAGTCCTCTTATAGTAAACTAAGACAGAAAACAGTGTCTCATTTCAAATGGTTAAGGCTTTACAGGTTACCAAAGTTAAAGGCTTTACATGTTGGCAACTATAGCAACTAGCAGATCAGTTATAGTTTTGGCTGAGAAGAACAAAAGAACAAACATTACCTCGATATAAAGGCCACAATGCTGGATCCTTCCTGACATGACAAGAATTTCTTTAATCAAGAAAATCACACGAGATATAAGCAACAAAAGGTATACATTATTTTGCTGGAATATGAGGAAAAGAGGGGCGTGGTGACAAATTTAAGTTGAAATAGTAAAAAATAGACCTCATCTCTTTCTGGTAACGCTGGAAGCCTGAATCTTCTTGTACATGGATCACCATTTTGAAAGGCAGGTTGCCACTTGATAAATCATTAATTTTATGGAAGTTATAGTAACACTTGAAAGCAGCAGGAAAGGCCTTCTTCTTCATCATCAAACTAACCATTTCCTGGAGGAAGTCATTATATCCCAAATAATGGTTAACCATTTCCTGGAGGAGACTAAACAGATAACTAGAATCTTTTTTTTTGAGAAGGTAACATATTGTATATTAATATAAAAACTTCACTAAAATTGTGAAGTCACCCATAATTACAATGAAAGTGCCCTAGCAAAAAACAAGGGGAAGACACTTCTAGTCCTTGGTCATCCTATAAGGACTCTTGTATATCTAAAATGGATTCATGATCCTCCAAAAATTTACCTTTACACCAAAAATAGAAAAGAGCTAAACATTTCATCTTTATCTTCTGAATATTGCTAGACTTATCTTCAAAACATTTTCGATTCCTCTCTTCCCAAACTGTCCACCATATGCAGGTTGGGACAATTTTCCATCTCTCCTTCTCTAGATAGTGTGCCCTCTTTACTCCAGCTGGCTAGAATATTAAGGACTATTGAATTCCCCTCAAACTGATGAAAATTCTCCATATCTGGATGGTGAACTTGCAATGCAGAAAAAGATGGTTAATTGTCTTTGCCTTCTCTCCACATAAGTAGCATTTGGAACATAAATTGGAATCCTCTTCTAGTTAAATTGTCCTGTGTTAGAACTGCTTCTCTTGCCAGTAACCATGTGGCAGACCACCTTTGTATGGAATTTTAACTTTCCAAATCATCTTCCATGACCAGCAATCCACCTGATTATTGGATGCATTAAACTCCTTGTAGGCATCCTTAACAGAAAACTTCCCTTGACTATTGCCTTGCCACTTGATTAGGTATTGATCTTGGTTTGAGTTGACACCACCGAACTGCTACAAAGAACTGTAGAACTCCACAACTCTGTCAATCTCCCCGTCATTTAACATCCTTCTGAATGTGAGATTCCAGTTTAAATCCCTCAGCCTGAAGCCACCAGTTTTCAAACTTGAAGTATGATTTAACTGGTTCCCAGCTCCCACATTTGAGCATCAATGGGGAATGGTATTACTTTACCTTCAGAATCACTTACTGCTTTATGTTCCTAAAGTCTTCATTCCGGTCAGCTGAGATCAAAAATCTATTCAATCTAGCTGTTGTTACATGTCTATCCCCTTTTCTCCATGTGTAATCACCCCCTGCTAACTGGATATCTACTAGTTCCATATCTTCAATAAAATTTGAAAAGTCCATCATTGCTCTTGTGATTCTAGAGCAGTTCTTCTTCTCAGATGGGAATCTCACAGTATTAAAGTCCCCACACACCACCCATGGTCCTGTAAATAGACCTCTTACCCCTGCCAACTCCCACCACACTTCTTCCCTTCTTCTTCTGTCATGCGGAGCATACACAACTGATAAATGCCATACATAATCCTGAGTCTTACCTGAAAATTTACAAGTGTGTGAGCACCCACACCACATACTTCCTCCTTCCATGCTCTACCATCCCACATTACTACAATTCCCCCTCTAGTCCCGCTAGCCTCCAGTTAAGTATATTTTACCCCTCTGTGACCCCATAGCTTTCTAACTATCTCCCTAATATCCCCCTCTATTTTAGATTCTTGAAAACAGATTATATCTATTTTCCACCTTAGTAACAAACTTTTGACAACGATGTAACCCCACTACTTCTAGTACCATTGCTCTTGAAATTGCTTCCAATTTCCAGGCCTTTCAGTTCTTTGAATCCCTTTTTCTTCGGAGTCTGGTTCACTTGTGTCACTTCTTTCCCTTTGTTTGCTTGTCTTCTATTGTCAATCTTCATGAACAATTCCTAAGCTTCTCTCTCGCAGCCATTAAAGGCCAACCCAAATTCCTTGCTGAGTTTGATGATGTTCTGATGCACCCAAATTGATGCTTCAAACTCCAGGTCTTCTTCTGATTCTAAGTTTTGTTGGTTTAGTGGAACTGCTTCTTCAATTGCCCAATCAACACTCCTGTCTGTTACTGCTGCTTGCATGTGCATGCTATTGACCACCTCTAAATCTTCTCCTGTTCTTTCGTTAACTGTCTTAGTTACTATTGCGTTGTCTTCGATCAGTATCAATTGTTTCCTTCCTTCTTCATCGCCTTCATTCCTCTTTTCTTGCTCTTCTTCTTCTGTTCTGTTATTGTTTATGTAGTCTCTATGATTCTCACCCAAGGCTGTTGTATGGACTCCCCTTAAAGACTTGAATTGAAGGGCTTTTAACTCTTCATTAAAGGGGTCAGTTCTGGTCCTTAAAGTGGGCTTATTAAAAGCCTTCTCTTCAGAGATGGTTTGGGCCAAAGAATCAGGGCCCATTTCCTTTGTGAGTTATAGGAATTTAAGTGGCCACGTGACAAGTCATGTGAGGTACTAGGTTTAGCCTGAGTTGAATTAACCACGTGTCCCTTCCGTGTTTTATCGCCTCGAGCCCCTCCCTCTGTATATAGAGAGCCCTTTATTACCCGCTGGTCCAAGACTTTATCTTCTCCATTCTCACCGACAGTGGATCTCGCCGGTGATTCACACCAGATCTGCATTTCGAAGATCACTCCATCCGATTCCATTTTCACTGTCCTAGGAATTGTAGATCCATCTCCTTTAACCTTTATCCTAGCCCATTTCAGGTGGTTTTTTAGTTCCGTTTCCTCTTCAGTTTCCACCCAACCACCGCAAAATTCTCCAATTTCTCCGAACACTTTTGGAGACCAAAGGTGGAGAGGAAGCCCTACGATCCTGATCCATGCATGTATTACGTTTTCAGTTGTTGGGATTGTCCCCACTGTTGGACACCACCATTGGAGCTTTATTCTGAGTTTCTTCCAGTACCAGTCCATTCTTAGAACATGGTCTGTTATTTGTGAGGCCCCGTGAAAAATTTCCACCCTAAACCCAAAAGCTCGTAGTGGCGTCAAGATTTGAAATAAATCTCAGGAAGTGCACAAAACCGGGATGAGACATCAAATTGGACGGGGATGACCACGGGTAAGGCATGCAAGGCATTTGGTATCAATGTCGAAGGTTTTCATCACAAACTTCTGGACTTTGTTTTAAGAATGAAGCAAAATCACCAACTTCTATTACGACAGAAGAAAGCATCACACTTACCTGGAAAAAGGAAGGTCAAAAATGGAGAAAGAGATGGAAAATCAGAATTGTCTGGTTAACTACGAAGGGAGGAAGAAACGTTTGAGGGGTAGGCACCAAAAAGCCTTCTCCGAATGAAGTTAAAAATACTATAGCTGGAATGTGAGGAGGCTGAATGAAAGGGAGAAAAGGAACACCCTGAAATCTCTAATTCAGAGGTGGAAAATAAATATAGCATGTCTACGGGAAATGAAAATGGAGGACCGGGCACCAAGGTTAGTACGACAAATTTGGTGGAATAGATGGTGTGATCGCGCAGAACTAAAAGCTTGTGACACAAGAGGGGGTTATGGGCTGAACAATGGGTACTACTCACTTTCATGCATATTTGAAAGCTTACAAGAAGATTTTAGGTGGGTTTTCTCGGTGATATACGGTTCACACTCTAATTCAGAGAAGATTTATGGCTTGAACTAGCTGCAGTGAAGAGGTTATGGGCTGAACAATGGGTGATAAGTATTTAATGTTTGCATATTCGAAAGTGACAGACTAAATTGTATCTGGAGGTCAAGAGTAATAAGGGGTTTCACAGACATTATCCAAGACTTGGGATTTATTGATCTACCACTCCATGGGGCATTCTACGCATAGTCCAGAGGTGAGCAAATAACACAAGCTTCAAGAATAGACAGATTCTTGATCTCGCCGGAATGAAATGACAATTTTAGGGCGATTAAACAATCAGCTCTGCCTAGAGTTATCTCAGACCACAAGCCAATTATTCTTGAAAATGGAGAATAGGAAGCTAACTCTTCATATATCAAGTTTGAGAATATGTGGCTTCAAAATGAAGAGTTTCTAGATTAAGGCTAAAGAGTGTTGGTGGCAGAGTTACTCTATATATGGCAACCATGATTTTATATTGTTGCAAAAGTTGAGGTGTCTTAAGAAAGACATCACAAAATGGAACAAAGCCTGAAGAAATAATCTGGAGACAGAAATCTAGATGTTTATGGCTCAAGGGAGGAGAAAGGAATACCAAATTCTTTTAGAAAATGGCAAATCTAATAGAAGATATAACACTATAGATAAACTTCAGATTGGTAATACTATTGTGGAAGACAAAAACCAGATAAGGGGGGAAATCCTAGACTTCTATTAGAAACTTTACACAGCGAATGAGCAATGGAGACCTACAACTCACTTTGATGGTAAGATCTAGCAATGCTTCATTCATTGCCTGGTACCTAAAGAAGGAAGGAGTCACTAAACTAAAGGATTTCAGATTGGCAGTGTTTATAAAATAGTCGCAAAGATGTTGGCCGAGAGGGCGAAGAAAGTGGTGGGGGAGTTGGCATTTGGACACCAAAATGCATTTATTAAAAGCGGACAGATTATAGATGCCTCCTAAATTGCAAACAAAGTTCTTTACTGGAGGATTAAAGAGGGAGGAGCAGGAACTTTATGCAAACTTGTCATTGAAAAGACTTTTGAGATCAAATTAATCAGTGCTATCTTATCTCAATGTTAAGACAAATGGGGTTCGGGGAAAGGTGGATCAAATGGATAAGGTTAGTATCTATACAGTCAAGTATTCTATTCTAATCAACTCGAGTCCAGTTGGCTTCTTTTCTCCCCAAAAAGGCATAAGACAACGGGACCCCCTCTCCCCCTTCTTTTTATCCTCGCAATGGAAGGGTTCAGCAGAATGCTTACCAAAGCAAAGAGCATGCAGTGGATTAAAAGGTTTGATGTGGGGAATGATCTTGGGAATACTGTAAACATCTGCTACATGCAAATGATACACTCATCTTCTGTGGAGCTGAGGAGTCTCAAGTACTATTTTAAAATCTAACATTGCTTATGTTTGAATCTTATCAGGGCTACACATCAACATGTCCAAGACCATCACTTACCCAGTTAATGATGCCCAAAACCAGGATTCTTTGGCTGACATCCTTTGTTGTTCCAGTGGTACATTACCAACACCACATTTGGGCTTTTCCCTTGGTGCCAAGTACAGATCAGTAAAGGTATGGATGGTATCATAGAGAAATTTGAGAAGCAGCTGACATCATGGCAGGTGCAATATCTTTCTCGGGCAGGCTTACTCTCATTCATAGTGTTCTTAACAGTATTCCTACATACTACATGTCCCTTTTCCCCATTCCAAACAAGGTGGAGCAACAGCTTCACAAGCTTAGACAGTTAGAAAATACTTCTTGTAGGAAAGGAAGAGTGAGGCACAAAAATTTCATCTAGTTAAACGGCCAAAGCTCATTCTACCCATGTATCTTGGTGGTTTAGGCATAAGAAACTTGTTGTTCATAATAATTGTTTGCTTATGAAAAGGCTATGGAGGTTCAACATGGAGGAAAAGACTATACGGAAAAATGTGGTCTCAACAAAAACATGGGCTCCAGTCTCGTTGGTGCACTAAAATCTCAAGAGCTTCTTTTGGAGTAGGGCCATGGAAAAACATTGCTAAACTATGGGATGAGTTTAATCAGCAGTTCAAATACCAGGCTGGCTGTGGTATTCTTATCAAATTCTGGGAAGACGGGTGGTAAGGGAACACCACATTCAAGAACGATTACCCTGCACTCTTTCAATATCCAGCTATCCTAACTCCACCATATCTCAGAACCGGGACAACAATCCTTGGGCACCACTATCCATAAGAAACTTTCAGGATTGGAAAATGGAAGAGCTAATGCACATGCTTACCAGGTTGTGGGGCTATTTAATTAAAGAGCAAACCTTAGATTGAATCAGATGATGGAAGGTAGATGGACAGTACACAGTGAAGGCAAGATACTAGACTTNAAAAAAAAGCTTCAGTTGGATATCTTTGCATGAGGCTTGCTTGACTCAGGACAACCTTAGCAAAAGGAACATTCCCACTGTCAACAGGTGCTATATGTGTCAACAGAATTTGGAGTCTAACAGACACCTTCACATACATTGCTCAGTAGCTGCTGATATCTTTCTATTACAATATTCGTTCTGAACTCGGTTATGCCAGTTAGTATAAAGGATGCCTACAACAGTTGGACTTTATGGAAAGTTGATAAATCCATCAGACAAGTCTGGAGAATGATTCCTGCTTGTATTTTTGTTGTGTTTGGAATGAATGAACAGAAAATGTTTTGTTGGAATATCAACTCCAATCCTCTCCCTTAAGACTAGTTGTCTTTTAACTTTATGCAGTTGGGATACTTTATCCCCTGTTGACTCACACGTCAAGCTTTTGGACTTTGTTAGCTCTCTCGTCATTGCTTAGGTTCTCTGTAGCAGAGCTGTCGATCAATTCAATGGAAACATATCATATAGGGTAGGAAATGGGATGGCGATGAGCTTTTGAAAGCACAAGTGGTGTGGAAATTATTTGTTAAAAGATGAATTTCCGAGCATGTACCCCGGTATCATACCAAAAGAAGATGAGAATACAACAAATTTGGGTGGTACAAGGTGGAGAGATTTTGCAGGACTTAGGTTCAGAAGGGATTTCTATGATTGGGAGGTGGGGATGAGTATTAGAGATTGCTAACTTTGCTTCATAAGCTAGGTAGTCAGTGGATAGTCAAGCCGTGTTGAGGTGGGGGTTGGGAATATCAGTGTTCTTAGTTAAGTCCTACGAGAAGTTGTTGATTAGAGAAAAGGATGTTTTTCCATACAACTCGATCTACATATCAGAGGTGCTGAGGAAGGTGTGTTTCTTCACTTGGTTAGCAACCAGAGGAGTAATCCACAGTATAAGTTGGTGTTTCATGTGTAACGAGGTAGGCGAAGATGTGGATCATCTCCTTCTACATTGCAGCTTAGCCATGAGACTCGGGGGACATATGTAGTTGGTTTGCTACTCCATGGGTGATTCCAAGAACTGTGAAAGAACTGATGGTTAGCTGGAGGACTGGGAGTAGGGGAGAAGGTGCAGGGCTTGGAGTGCTGCTCCATTTGCTATTAAGTGGGTTATTTGAAAAAAAGAAAAGAAATAGAAGAGCGTTTGAAGGGTTAGAGATGAGTATTGCCTAGTTAAGATGTGGTATTAGGTCTCTTATTTATTTTTGGTGTACCCATGAAATACCATGTTGTATTGAAGACTGGGCGAC